TGACTGGCATTTTAAGAAAACAAGCTCATGCCTTCCTCTTAACCAGCATCTTCCCTGATGTCCAGTACTCCTTACTAATCTCCAAGTTCCACTCTTATAAAAAGAGCGATATATTGCAGTCTAGATAAAATTAGTCCAAACTTGTCCAAAAATTCTTTCTCATCAAATATAATTTTCTAAGTATATTTTTTTAATGACTAATATTAAAATAAACTCAGAGGCTGAAAGTTAAAGAAACATGCTCAGAAATGCATTGTCATTTCTTTTTTTGTCAATCAATATATTAAAATAATTTGGAAAAAAAAAACACAGACCACTAGAAGTAAAGTTTGTTAAGACCTTGTAAAAAATATCAATATTATTTTCCTGAGCTCCCTTCTTTATGAAAGGAAGGAATGGCTTTTCTGAGATAGAAAAAAGCCAACCTCCCTTCTCTTAAAAGTCTCCACCATTCAGTACATTTTATTCTCGATTTTTTATCTGCTTTATCTGTACTAACTACTACACTGACATGTATAAAATCTCCTTTTGTGTCATAAAGCTACAACAAATTATTATCTCTGCTTGCATTATCAAATTAAAACCAGATTTTTTTCTAGCAGCACTCTGAAATTATGTAGCTCTGAACTTGGAAGATTTTATTTTTTTTTTAAATTAATTTTCATCTTATCCAGGCAGTCTTATTTTTATCACAGTGTAGTGGTGCTTCCTAACAGTCCAGCTGCGAAGGGCAGCCCAGTGTTGTTAAAATACCTCCACTGAACTGTCACATTCTGCATCACTGGAGGATACACTGATACACAACAAAACCAAGAAACTCTATAACTCTATCCAAAAAGTCAATGCCCTTGGCTTTATTTCTGTTTGCTGAAGTTAAACTTCCCTAACAAAAGACGGACAGCAAACAACTCCAGTTCTTAGGTAGAAGTACTTCATTACAGTTCATACTATAAACATGGCAAGGTATTTCCATTTAGAAAAAAAACAGCACCATCAGTGAAACATGAAACTGGACATGCTCTTCATTCTTCCAATCTGCTTAATTTCCTCATCTGCCACTATTTCAAAGCAGTTATGGAGAATATACACAATACCCTAGGTAAACTCTCACTTGTGTCTTATGTATGATCACTAATGCTTCGCAAGCAATGACAGTGGAAAAACAGCCAGAATACTGAGACGAGTGGTGTTGAGCACCATGTCTCAAAACCATTACCACTCACAACATCGGTGGTTTCGTTCATACTTATCTTAGAGCTGGCATTTTAAGTCTTTCTACCTGTACTAGCTATCATGTTCCATAAATCTTAATTAAGTAAACACTTCTAAATTGTTTTGTAATTCCTTTAAATTCCCTGCTTTTAACAGAAAAATTGGTCTCCATTGGAGGCGACTAAAGAATGAAAATCCTTCAAGTCCATAATTAAAAAAAATGAAAACACAGACAGCTCACCTGTCCATTTGCCTTAGAAATTTGCGAGCCCAGCAGGCAATTGTATCAGAGTGAACAAAACACGTCACAGAGATGTGATACTACCCAATTACTGGTAGCAAGATGGTGAAGATACGATGGCAGAACGTTTGCAAAACACTTTATGGACTTAGAAGAACAAGAAAAAGTGTGCTTCTGACAGCACACTGTTAACAAGGTTAGAAAGCAAAAGGGAGGGAGGGATCTTTTCACTTTTTCTAAGGTATTCCTCTGAACATACTAGGAGATTTGGCACAGATGGAAATATTTCTGTTTACAAGCAATTGATCTTTTTTTTCACAGGTGATGCCTCTACCATTGCTTCCACCCACCCAGAAGTGCATTATTAAGTCTCTATTTGTGGTATAAATTCTGCAGTAAAACTTCTACTTCATTAGGTTGCAGTTTCTATTTCAAAACAAATGAAGAACAGCAAATCAAAATGCTGTATTAACAATGTCAACCTAAGTTACTCATTGGCCAGGAAACTATGAGAAAATTATGTAAGTTGAATTAAAAAAAAATTGCACAAAACATATCTGGAGTTGTTTTTATGCTTACAGGTCTTCAGTGTGGGTTCCTTCTTTTCATTTATAAGAAAAACTGGTTTGTCATCAGAAATACTGCCTGCAGATTACAAGCATTCTTCTCTAAATTGTAAAATCTACCCAGTTTGTAGACACAACAAACAAACCATACTAAGTAAGGATTTCCTTATTTCAATGAACAAAGAGTATTACAAAATCTGAAACATAACTGGAAAGGTAGGTACATAACTGAAAGGTACTTTTCTTTGCAGAGTTACTTAAGAATGAAATATAATCCTATCACAGACAATCTTGAGTAAGGCTCAAATTCAGAAAAAAATATTTTCCAACAGCAGTGGCCAATAAGGATGTACAAAAAATTTTTGCTACTGGTCTTGAATCTAAAATGCAAGTAAATCTGCCCCATAAATGCATAAAGGCTCATGCATGCATGCACAGGCTCACACACACAAACCAGCACTCCTCCTTTTTCTTTGAAAAGAAAATTAACTCTTAGAAATAAATGCTACCTAGTAGCAGTTTCACGTACACCTCCACATTTGTATAAGATTAAACCCACACAGTATGCTAAAAACAAGAATTACGTACAAAAATAAAATAAAATGGATTTCAGCCCTTACTGACCATTTCTTCAAATGCAAAATCAAGATGGAAGTTGATTTTACTAGCTTTGGTGACAGTATTAAAAGGGAAGTTTTGATATACGTATTCCCCAGAAATTTGGAAACTCAGATTTTCAATAAATACCCAATCTTTTGTTATTTTTTTTCTAATCAGTTAGTTTGAGTTATCACACAACCATTTTTAAAGGTCTAGTTTATGCTGCATCACCAAAACAGATTTATTTATTTATTTATTTTACTGAGAGTGGCAGAAACATAGATTTAGTTAGGTGCAATATATTTGAATTAATTACTCATTTTTAGATTCCTCCTCTACTCTTGTACACAAAAAGAAGGAAGTGTGCCCCAGATTTATGCATAAATATTTAGCCTCCAATAATGGATTTTGTTTGGAAAACCTATCAAGTTTCCTGCGTATATTCTTACAAAAATACGTACTGATTAATCTCACTGATTTCTGACATAATTAAAATTTAAAAAAAAATTCTGATTAATAAAACACACCACATTTTATTTGTTCATGTTATACCAGATATAATACTGTTTATCTAAGCCACTGTAAGGGAATAGTAAATTTCATTCTCAACTCAATTTTACCATTCAGAATAATACATAGTTGGGGTTCAGAGTTTGGTGCTTGCATTTCATGATGCCAGGTGCCCCACTCCTTACAAACTTTCTATTTACATCAACCAACACTTGAAGAGCTATCGCAACTACATGGGGAGAATGGGAACATCTGAGCTTTAACTAAATGATGTTAAAAAGTGTTCAAAAGTCATTTTTTAGTTTTTAAGTTAATAGTTAACCCCATTAAGAAGTTCAAGCAAGGCAAATCATCCCTAATTTAGCAGCTCCCTGTACCTTCCTCTTAATCATACAACCTGGTTCCTGACTGCTGATGGACTTCTGGATAAGATGCTGCAAAGATATGCTCTAGTACAGCAATTCCTCTTTCAAAGACATTTAGGAGTTAGAGAGGAATGCCAGATCAAATTACAGAAATACTCTGTAAAATAGTTAAAATATTTTGTTCTTTAATAAGGGGAGTGAAATGACAATCTGAATCCTTTCTTAACACCTTATCACCTTTTATAATCTAACTGGATGCGATTTTTTCTAATACATCTAAAATAACAGCTTACCTTATACAGCTATCTGTATTCAAGGCTCAGATTCAAGCGCTAATAATCTTACAGCACTTTTGAGCAACACAGCATTAACATTCTGGGCTTCAAATATACCTGCTAGAGCTATTATTTAGTTCAACAGCATGATTATATGCTTTATGGCTTACAACTCCTAAATGAGTACTGCAGAAAAATACTGAAATCTTTTCACTGAAGCTGACTAAGCTTTACATTTTGTAACACTTATACTGCTCATCTGTCCATAAAAGAAAAAAAAAGGAAAAACGGAGATACTACTTACCTTAGTCTAGATTATCCTGACTACGTAAGAGAAGAGGTGAGATGCTGCATATTTAAATTCTAAATTCAATGCTAGGCTGAAGATTTTTTTTTCTTTCTTTCCTTTTCTCCCTTCACTTTCTTTCAGTAAGAAAGAACCCTTAGAGTCAGCTCCTGCTCACACTGAAGAGCAAAAGTCTTCATCAGAATTCAATAGGAGAAGGAAAGGGACTTTAAAACATGTTTGTTTGTTTGTTTTTCTGCATTTTTTATCTTTCTGAATGAACTATTTTTTCCTTCAGGCAATGCAGATATTATGCTTTTAAGATCTCTGACGTAGCACTGAAGAGTTGGAAGTCTTATGTTCCTAAGGAAGCATCATTCTCTAGCCTAATTTAGCTGAATTCACTGACCCTATTTTGCCAGTGCTGTTTTTAAAGAGAAATTATTGGATTTACTCGTGAGTAACAAATCAAAGATAGCTTTTAAAATCACATTTTTTGGCACCAAAGGTACAAACTGCTATACAACTTACATCATTGATATTCATTTGCTTAGATTTCAATTCCCTCATTTGCAATCAGAGCTTCCACTATGAAAAAAATTCTATACATAAAAGGTTGCCCCTTGTCAAATGATTATACCCACAGAGAACTCTTTGCATTTATTTGCCTACCTGTAAACAAGGCTTCTAAGAGATGAAAACACTTTTTGTTGATCAGGACAGAAAGTTGTTACAGTGCATAGCTAAAAGGCATTTGTATTTGGTTTCTTGTAGTTGCCTAATGATCAAAGAACATTAACATATCAGAAATTTTTTCACAGTTGGAAAATCCTTTCTCCTAAGTAGACTATACCCAAATACATGGAACATAAATGCCACAGATGAAAGAACGGTAAACCACATCTGGTGAGAGTCCTGCTTCCAAATAGCATGCGTCTTACTCACCTGTTTGGCTAAGTTGAGATGTGCTTCTGCTCCTTCGAGACACTATGGCAACCACTTTGGCACTAAGACTGGAACGCCTTTTCTTCCCACCTGTTCCAACCATGCCGACAGCCGTGTCCGACTGACTCCCATCATTGTGCTCCAGCTTATACATCTCTCCGCTCACACTTGTGCTCTTAATGATTCTCCCTGAAGTCCCCATCCGTCTGCCTTGCATTTTAGGAGTAAATGTACTACATTTACAAAGTAAAAACAAACATGTTAATTTGTTTGTGCAGCAGTGCTTTCGGAAGTCTTTCTTTTAATTAAAAAATTAATTGTAAGTTTAGGTAATTTCTTTTTTTTTTGATTCACAAATATAAGGTTAATTTGGGTACTCCTCAGGATATATGTTTCCAGTATTGCAATCTGAACTTCAAGAAAAAAAAAAAAAAAGGAAATGAATGCTTTCCCAATAGCTTATCAGAGTGACACAGGAAACACTGAAAAATCATGTGTAACCTTCCTGCTTATATCCCCAGAATACAGAAAGCAACAATTTTAGTGCCAAAGAGAATGAATGGGCCAAGAGTATATATGTTGGTTAATACATGTATCTTATAGGCACAAAAGGCTTAAGACTTTCTAGATGTGAAGATAAAATCTCATGTAATTTCATACTTCAAGGAAAGAAGAGATAACACAACATGCAGGATTTTGTATGTTTACACTCTCTCACTTTTTAACAGTAAGCATGAAAATTGCAGCACGAAGGCAAAGTAAAGGTGAGCTAAAGAACTAATAACCCAACAGAATTTCTATTGACTGACAGAAGAATTCCTGATTCAATTTTGTTTATTTTTCTTTAGGTATCATATTACATTTGAGTGTTTCTATGATTATTTTTTTTCCTGGTCCTGCACACAGAAGCTGGATAAAGTATTTTGAAACATACTCGTGAACAGTCTAAAACATGCACAGGACATACTAATGCACAGTTCTAACACTATGCTATGGCCAGGTGATGCCCTAGCTCTCATGACAGTACTACATTAGCTATCACTCTGCAGGGACACAGAAGTGGGAGCTGCAGCCTGACTCAGTTTAGTCGTAGTTGTTAAATCAGTCCAGTATGTGGAATATTCCTTGAACTTGTATTGCTGAATAGTAGACCTACTGGCAACATACTGGCTGTAGGATCTGCTTCTTCAGTAATTCTGCATTTTGGATTCAAATGTTGAATTTCCTTGTTTTGTTTTGCTGTCCCGCCCAGTGGGTTATCTTTCCAGCAGAAGTAATGGCCCTGACCCCCCCATCACCTTAAAAAACAAAGAAATAGAAGGGTTCATTATCCCAGAACATGTTCCAGAAAGACAGAAAGTCTTGCCAGGGAGAAATGAAGGCTTCTGCATGAAAGGAGCTGACATCCTGTGATGTGGTAGATCTGAACCCTGCTAAAGCATCAATCAGTCCTTTCTAAAGACTTGACATCTGCCTTTGTTAATTTCTGATTTAGAAAAACAACTAGAGCCTTTGCATTGAACAATGTGCTTTTTTGCTTTGCAGTACTCAACACATTTTAGTGGACCACATGAGGCATACAGAGCTTAGAATACATTATCTCTTCTTCTCTCCCATTCCATTGCACCATTAGTGAATGGCTCGTAATTTTGCATAGCAAAAATGGAAGAATATGTATTTAGAAATTGATACATGCTCCTCCTCCCCATACACATATCTGGTCTCCTTAGGAAGGAATTTTGACTGTGCTGTTCAGTCTTTCAGAAAGAAAAGATTCACAGAAAGACTACCTTCCACAAATATGTAAATATTAAGGAAAAAGATCTATAAGCAAACTACTTCTTTTCACTTTAATGTAAAATCAAGTAAAAAGCACATTAAAATATTTTAATTTTTCAAAATAAAAAATAGATTTATTCCTGAAAGTTGGTAAGGAGTTACAGGACTCACATGACGATACACAAATGACAGTAACATCATCAAGGTCTTTAATCTTGACTGCCAAATTTTCTCAAGAGTCTTGCTCAATCAGTAGTTCAAACCATTCACACAATTCTTTTGCAAAGTACTAAACTTGCTTTAAAGAGAGATTTTCTAAAATACTTCAGAATCTGTACCCACAGTTTTCAATATAGTCTAAATAGTAGAATTAAATGTATTAGATTTAAATCCTACTGGCCAGACTAACAGCTTGAAAACAAGCACACTGCAAATACACTAGATTTGGACCCATAAGAGTTCTTAGAAGTGCTTCAATCAGAAGCATTTCTGATACTGTTTGAAAACAGCATTCCAGGGGCACAGTACACTGTAAAATCTGGAGACTTAAATACTGTTATCTTCCATTACTAGATGGTACAAAAAATATAAGAATTGGTGAGACACGAACCAAACACTTAACTACTGCCCTACAAGCTCCTGATGGTGTAACCTACTTTCCTGAAGAGGCACATCTCTCATGAATCTCTTGTCTACTTCATTTGAATATAAAACTATTTATTATCATCAAACATTAGTGAAATTTACAGTATAAATAAAAGAGTCTACAGCCTTTTGGCTTGCCTGGGCCATGTTGAGTGAAAAGGAATTGTCTTGGGCCAAATATAAAATACGTAGTTAATATATGTAAGTAACAAAACATTAAAAAAAAAATTCATTAAAGCAAAGAAAAGAGGGCAACAAAAACATTAAAGTTTCTGGTTAGACATATATGTTCTACATCACACATCTGAAAAATACTAACACTGTGGTTTGTTTTCTCAGCTCTAAAACAGATAGCTTTCAATCAAGGTAGTTACACTTCACTAAAATAACACTATCAAATGCATGCTCATGAAACATTAATTAAATGACCTTTCTGGAGCCACCACAAGAAGAACTCTTCTACAGTTCCAAAGATATAGAGAATCTTTAATCTCAAGCAGTGTAAATTCATAAGCAATGAATATCTGCCAATCCGGTTTGTTTCCATGGAAGCACATATTCCACAGTACACATCCTATCAGTCACGACAGTAAGTAATTAACAGTTTGTTTCTTCAGAGTCAGGAATAATAGTAATCAGGCTTAGACTTTTTGTTGTTGTTTTGTTAGTTTCCTTACCTTAGTAGCACAGTAATCCCTTTTTCTTCAAAACTTCCTGTAAGCCTTTCCCACAAAATATTTTCCAGGTCCCTACCCAGCCATGGCATTCTTTCCTTCATTTTTTTTTAACGCTGTCTAAAGAGACTAGCAACAGGCACTGAATTACGTGAAGGATGCATGGCTAATCAGTAGATAACTGTAGAGTTCCTGTCCTGGTCTTTCATTCACTGTGTGTTGTGTTTCTATTCCCTCTCAAGTTGCTTTTTGAAAAAATCTTAGAAACTTGAGATCCTGTTGATGTCTAGCTCTCCTCAAACTGGACAGTAAGTGGAAAGTTATCAAGCAAGATGGGATTATTACAGAAAGAAACAAAGTCCCATACATATACCATGACAACATAAAACTTTTTCTGTCATGAAATCAAGCTATTACAGTCTAATTTTCTTGAGGAACATAAATATCCTTGTCTTAAATTTATATTAAATAAATGATGCTCCTAAAACAGTACAGATGCTTGCTGAATACACTGCTGTCTCTTGAAGTTGTAAAGGACACTAAATTGTGATGTTTTTGTTGTTGTTCATAGAATGCAATAAATTCATATTTACACATTATCTAAGCTAGCAGCTTAGACCATATGTTGACTAGGCATGGGTAATTCCTTTCCACACCGGATTTTAATGACCACTTCTGTGATGCCTGTGGTATCTTCTATTCAAAGCTGAATATAGCATTTTTTCCCCGTCTTTTGTCACTTATTTAACTTGACAATATTTCACTAGAAGAGAGGGAAGAAATTGAAAATATTTCTGTTGGGAGCATCTGTTGACATTTAACACTATCCATATTGACACACAGTATATTGAAATACTGCTTCATAGAATGTATAATTTACAATAAAAATGAATGAATTACAGAACCTCCCCTGCAATTAAAGAAATAACTGCTTATCATACTATTGACTTTGTTGTGCTAATTTCAAGTATTTATGGATACAGTAAACACTAATACTATCATATTATCATGCCATCTGCACATTTCAAAAATACTTAATAATCAAACTGCAACGCTCTAATTTCACATTAGTTATTGATAATAGTTTAGGGGACAGTGATGTCCATCAACTGAGAAATAGAAGTTGATAGTATAATTTTAAAAAAATCCAATTTTTGATCTAATAGTTTTCTAATTCAAGGGGTAAGAATACTTTCTGACTAACAGATAAATCACTTTTTCAGAGATGTATATACATTTCAATTTTCATTGTTTGGGACAGATAGAGGAACTAAAAGATTCACCTTAAGAAGAAGGTGAAGTGTTTGGAATTCAGATATTTGTGTTTGTTTTTACCATAAAATACCAACTTCACTTTCCTAAGAATTATTTGCTGGTGTACTTCTAGGAAAAAATAAAAGTCTCTGGTTTACTAGAAACAGACTTAACTGGATAGGACCAGAATCCCAAGTTGCTCAGTATTCTAAGTCGTTGTAACTGAGCAAACAGGGAAAATGATTAACCTTCCTTCTCGTTCACCTAATCCCTGGTCTAGTTTATTACTTGACATTAATTGAAACGCTATCAAAATATCAGACATTTAATACTCAGCCTTCTTATTCTGTTTAATTGAATACCTTTAGAAAACAATATTTTTCCATTCCATTACTGGCTATCACTTGGAGGCATAGCTCCTAGCTCATCTTTAACAACATCTGTTACTTTAATCACTATGCTCAGGGTCTAATTTATAAAGCACAGAGAAGCAAAAGACCTGCAAGAATTTACAGATACTCTTTAGCACTTAACCCTTCCAATAAAATACCTATTTTTTTCTTTTTCTTTACTTGTCTTTCTGGGAATATTGACACATTCATTTAAATGCAGATATGTCTTGTGCAGGCTAAAATTGATAAATTATTAAGTTATATTGTCAATTTAAATCTAGTTACAACATAACAGATAAGTAAATGAATATAAATCTCTATAGGAGGGTAACTAAGAGTATGATATTAATCTTTCACCCACATTTCTATTTATTTTACCAGTTTTAGCAATTATTTAAATAAAGTAAGCAAAAAAATTATCCTATTTCTAATCACTGGCATGGTAATATCATTTATGTTACACTAGCTACTGATGTGTCTGTGCATCTA